ATGGTTTTCCTGTAGTTGCTTCCAGTATGTTTTACGGTTGTGTTTCTTACATTAACTTTTTAATTCTCTTGGAGTTTCTGTATGCTAACTCTTGGAGTTTCTTCATGCTAACTGGCTTGTTGAGGTATAATTTACATGCCGTAAAAGGTACAGATATTACATTCACAGAGCGGTAAGTTTTTACATTATGTATACATCCATAGAACCACCACCTGAATTAAGATACAGAACATTTCCATCATTCCAGAAAGTTCTCTTCTGCCCCTTTTCAATCAATAATAACCTCCCCAATAGAGGTAGCCACTATTCTGACTTCTATCACCATAGAACAGGAAAATGAATTAAGTCTCAGATTGAAGAACAAAAAATTGAAATAATTTAAGATTTCAAGATAGACGTAAAATAATTAGGTTGTTCTTTTACATGAAGGCAAACAAACTCTCGTTGAAATGAAACTCTTGGGGGATCACCTGGGTGGCTCAGTCGGTTGAGCATTCGACTCTTGGTATCAGCTCAGGTCATGATCTCACGGTTTGTGAGTTCAAGCCCCGTGTCAGGCTCTGCGCTGCCAGTGCAGAGCCTGCTTGTGATCCTTTGTCTCCCTCTCTCTCTACCTCTCAAAAAGAAATAAAACATTAAAAAAAATAAAACCCTTTAAAATAGAGGTTTTGACCATGAAACAAAGACCAAAGCAACAGTGATGGATAGATGTATAATGGATCTGACACAGCAGAGGGAACACCTCAAATCCACTGTTCTGCCTTTCCCATTGAGGTCTGCCTAGAATCAGTTTGTATATGATGGCGAAGTGGGGTCAGGGTTGATTATTGCCCACGTGGGTCTCCATCCAATGACCTGGAACCCTTGATCAGAAAGGCCCTCACGATCCTGAGACTCCGTAGCATCCCTCGGTCATAAGCAAAGTGCCATGTATGTGGTGGGGGAGCCCCGCATGTCAGCTCTGCTCTCTCCCATTGGGCCCCCTGGCCCAGCCTGCACCCAAGCCACACTCCCTCATTGGCAAAAAAAGAAAAGATTATTTTACAAAACAAATGGTATAATCAAAGTAGGAAAATGATAACAAATGCAACTGAAGATCAAGAAAGATAAAGGAGGATTCGAAAGCTGGAAACTTGGGGAGGGGTCTGGTACAGGGGCCAGAGCATAAGGAGCCTAGAGTTAAAGCACCCCTTCGGTTTCTCGGCCCCTGCCTCCCAGGTCAGCCCTGTGGGCCACCCGTTCTCTGGGTCAGGGGCTCAGGCTGGAGAGGGTGTTGGGAAGAAGCATTCATGACGTCGGCCTCACACTTCTCAGGGGCAAGGAATTTCATGTGGCTTCTTCTCCCCTCTCTGCCTTTGGCCTGCTTCCCTGCAGCTGAGCCCCCACTGCTCTGGTGGTCCCCACCTTACTTCGTGGCTTAAAGATGCCTCAGAGCCAGTGCCCAGGCTGGCGGGGAGCCTCAGCCCTGGGGAAAGAGAGGGTGGGGGTGCAAGAGACCTCTGCTGGGGAGCAGCGTGCTAGGGGCTGTTGCTTTATAAGGTCAATGATGATGGAGATCATGTTATGCGTGTTATCAAGGATGGTCACGGATTTTGCCGCTAATGTTGGACGCTGGTTTCTGATGAAAAGAGACGTCAAGATGTGCTTTGGCTGAGCAGGAGTTCTCATTACAACCACCTGTGCTCAAGTGTTTGTCACAAAATAACCCAGATGTAGGCGATTCCCTGTGAGCTAGGTCAAGTTTGTTGTAGTTGAAAATGGCAATGGAGGCTATCTTCACATACGCAGCTTTTGAAATGTGTTCTGCATTTATATAGGATGTCATCATTTTCAATAAGTAAGAGAGAACTTGAGTGTGGTTCTTCCTTATAAGACTTTTATTAATGCCAGAAATGAAACAGTAAAAAACATAATGAATGTTTTAAGATCAACACGACTGTGGGTACAAGGAAGGTATTGACAGGGATGGAGACGGCCTTGGGAGGAGAAAGCCAGGCCTGAGGGGAGCCTTCTGTCTTGACTCAGATCTAAAGGCCACAGTTCAGCCTGTCCTTGCTCTAGGACATCGGCCTGCACAGGATGACTCTGTGCCTCTGAGGCCAAGCTGTGTCCTGGGCCTTGGGGCTCCTCCCCCACTTCTGCACTGCACAACCCCTGATCTGGAGGAATTTCCTAAAGAAATGAGATGGAAGAAAAACCAGGCAAAAAGGAACTGCAGAAAACAACGTGGGCTCAAATGTCCTGCTATCTCCTGGGAAGGTGTGCCCCGCACAGTGGACGCACATGCCACGTGTGCTTGACTCGGAATGGTACCTGCAATCATTTCTACTAAAAACAAAACAAAACAAAACAAAACAAAACAAAACAAAACAAAACAAAACAAAACAATGCTGAAACCTCAGACCCTGGTCAGAATCACAGCCCCATTACACACGGTTTATCCCAGCAGGAGAACAGGGTTTGGCCAGTAGCATTTTCATTCGTGGTGCTTTCTCAGGAGCACGTGCTGCTATCAGCTCAAAATTACCTGTACTTTGTGTCCCCGGGTCATGCGCTTTGGGGCAAGCATCCATTAGCAGTCTTATTGAAGCCGGACATAATCACACACATCCTGGAAAGGAGGGTGAGGTTGTCTTTTTTGTTAATGCCTCACTAATGGCTTCCAAACAAGTCATACCAGTCGTGTGTGTTGCTTCATGCAGTCAACACTTCCCTGGAAATACTTTGTAGAAAGAGGTTTTGTGTGTGTGTGGCCAATCGGATGACATTTCACTATGGACATAATTTCCACTGTATCTGTGATCTATTCCAAGTCTGGTGTGGTTCTCGACACTTGCGCATACAATTTTGCTGCACCAGCCTCCTTTGTCGGGATCTAAAGACAGGTGCCCCACACACAAGGAAGTTACCATCTATGAGAACTGGCAGTCCAGCACCCTGGATTCTTGCCTGAGGCTCTGTGACTCTTTGCAAGTCACAGAGGGAAGAAGATGGCTCCTTACAGGCTCTGGCCTGTGCGTTGTGACACGGAGCTGGCCGCAGGGGGCGGGGGGGGGGGCTCACATTTCTCCATCTGGGCTCACTGAGGATTCTTATGTCATTGAAAGCATTCCACCATTTCCCCCCACCTTACTCCAGGAAGAAAATGAGGTCACCAGATCCTGTTGCTTTGAACATCAGAATTACTTCTACGGTCTGAAAAGCCCAGACTGGCATTACTTACCTTTGGGGCATTTTGAGCCCTAAAACCCCACAGCAGAGCCTACAACTTCCCTGACCGAGCCTGACTGCCATAGACCGGCCTGCCCCTGAAGCCTTCCTTCCGTGAGACGCAATGCCAGTCAGAATGGCGGACCTGTATCTGCTTCATTCCCGCTTGTTCCCATCTGTCTTCTGGCTACAGGCTCTCGGAAGAATCGGGAAGGGCCATTAAACACAACCCCAGGCCCGACTGAGACCTTCACCTGTCCCCCCTGAACCCCAGTGCCCCATAAAGGAGGGAGTGACACGATGTCCTCACTACACAGTGGTGCCCTTTGCTCTCAGGACTTAGCCATCACTAAAGAAGAAGGGAGAAATTCGCCAGGAAATTTGAGAATGGAATTCATTGTTTAAAGTTTTTTCTGTTGCGTTTGTTTGTTTTCTGGTCACAACTATCACTCAAAAGCTGAGGGCTAGCATAGGACAGCCAAAGACAATTTGTGCCTTCCCTGAGGTGGCAAACAATTCTTCTGCCGCCCCCAGCCGGTTTGCGGGAAACACCGTGCAAGGGACCATATGATCCAAGAATGGCTTTCACAGTGACGGTCAGGAGGTATTGCTCAGGGTAACCACTGATTATGTTAGGGCCTCCCATTGGAACACCACACAAAGAAAAGCCAGCTTGGCATGCATACTTGTCAAGTAGGAATGGCACCTGTTCAAAATCCTATGAAAGGGAGGGGGGATGATGACTCATCTCGTGTCTGCACGTGTTTTTCACGTCCCCAAGGTTGGCCAAACTCCTAGATCTCATCAAAATCCTCAGAGGCAGTGGAAGATGGTGGAATGGGCCTGTGGGGGACCTCACCCTGGGCCGTGGCTCTGCGAGTGATCTCAGGCACACTGCTCCCTCTTCCGGCTGTCATTTGCTTCCAGGTGGGAGCAACGTTCTCTGCCAAGCCTAGCTTCGGAGGTTTTTGAGAAGGCATGAGACAACGCATGTGAAAACGTGCTGAGAGGCTGGCAGCAATGGAACACCCAGCCGCAGGCAGCTGTTCGGCCATGACACCCTTAGCGCCACTAGTGTCCTCTGACACTCTCACCACAGAGCCCAGGACTCATTGCCCCTCTCACTTGACCTGTCTTTCGCTAGGGACAGAAATGATTTGTCTGTTGGGGCCTTTGCAGTAAGGAATGCAAACTCTGCCACCACCTCTGGGTTTGATCTCCTCAACCATGTGTGCAGGGCCTGGGACAAGATGGTCTCCAGGAGCCTCTCCGCCAGGATGATTTATGATCCAATGGAAACACAGAAGAAAGGTCGGAATTTGCAAGCATTAGAGTCAAATGATTCTGTTTGGTAGCAATACTGGCTCGAATCTGTACTCCAAATGCTCCATTGGAGAGATTCTTAAAAGCTCTGGGAAAAATATTGTCCCAAGTCTTGCTTTTCTTGTTCCTACCATGCCTGAGTGGAGTTTTCTACATGACAGTCCATGGCCGCCCCTTATGGGTATGGAGCCTACTCTAAGCATCTGGGAGGCTCTGGGCTCATGTGGGTAGGAGAGGGACACGGCCGAGACGGGTGGGGTGGGGGTGGGGCCAGGAGACCACTTCTTCCTTCTCCCCATTCGGTGTAGATGAATAGATCCTCTCTCCCAAAGGTTCTGGCCGAGTCCGCGGAAGTGACATACTCTCTCTGATTCCTGGCCTGCATGGACCATCACTGCAACCCTGGCAAAAGACGCCCAGAGCAAGCCGCGGGCTTCCTTGCCCCACACATGGCCCAAGCATGTATCTCACGCTTTCGATTGCCTCTCATCCGTCCACTCCTGCTTCGTGCTCTGGAGGGCTTGTGTCTTCTGTTCATCCACTTGGACATAGTCCACTCTTTGCTCTTCTGAAAGGAAGAGTTTCTGAAGGGGAAGAACCCAAACAGATTTTTATTACATCAAATTCAAAAAATTCAGGAAAATGCCAGCCCCTTGGTGGTAGATTGTGGGGTTAAATATCAGCTGCTCCTCCCAAGTCATTCCCTGCAGAATCTTTACACTTTGGGTACATGCTTGAATATCGCTCTTCCTGCACTCCCTCCTACTTCACCCCAGCTATCAGACTCGCTTTGACCAGCGTCCTACGAGTGGAAGTGACGCGTGCCAATCCCGAAGGGACAAGAGGCAGCCTGTGATTCTGCCAGGAGGCCAGTGAGCATCAGTCAGAGGCTCTTTCTCCCAGCGGGGCCCCGGATGGAGGATGTCCCATGAGCACCAGCAGGAAAGGCCACTAAGACCTGGGGCTTGACTGTCTTGATCGCACGGCCTACCAAAACCGACCGAGGCACCCCCTTCTGACCAGTTTTTCTGGAATAGAAGTTCAGGTTTGGGGAATGAAATTCAAGGTAAAGGAGAAGCAGGAGTTCGTTTGGCAAAAGGGAAAGGAAGTCTTCCAAACTTTTTTTCCCTGCACACACACACAAAGTGGAATCACACTGGCTACGCGGTTCGGCAAGTTGCTTGTCTCCTCAAACAACATATGTTGTTAGGCACGGTTTAGATCACGACTGTCCTTTGCTCAAAAATATTTAGCTGTTTAGTACTTCCGATCCCCATTTTACAGACAAGAATACTATCCAGAGGAGTGCAAACTGCCTATGCTGAGGGGCTCCGATTCCAACTGTCAGCTCTTGTCACCCCTCCCCAGAGTCTAACCAAACCGTGCTATTAACTCCCACCCTAAGCAGACCCCTCCTATGCCCACACACATCTGTACATTTAAGACTTTCCAAAGAGAACATGCATGGCTGAATCATCAGAAAAATCTAAACAGAAAAGGAATCCCCTGGGAATCCTCAGACACCAAGTCCTTCCTACCTGCTGTATAGGGGCTGGTGACGCAGAATTGAAGTCCAGCGCTAAATAGTCCAGGCTGAATTTCTTTGTCCAGGTCAGAGCACCACTGCTTAGGGACTTGGCCGTCCTGCGATTCTGGAAAGCAACATCATGGGACTCAGGTTAAGGGTATCCAGCCGGGCTGCCCAAGGAAAGCGGGGCGAGTCCTGTCCCCACTTGAGCACTTGCCATCAGACCACAAGGTGGTCTGAGGACACCTGCATGGAGCCCCCTGCATGTCTGAGTGAGAGCTACCATTTGAAATACAACACGGCCAATTCAGCCTTCACATGAAGCCACACCTTTGCTCACCATGGAGGGGTTGCCCAAAATCTCCCCCAAGAAGAGTCTGTCTTAAGGATCTGACAAGCCTACAATACCTTAGAGACTAAATCCAGAAAAGATCAAGCACACTTATTCAAGTCTAGTAAAGGCATCTCAGATGCATCTGAAGACACTTTATACAGATGCAAACGGTGTGATGTGTGCGACACACACCCATGGACTCCCGGGCATCAGAAGCACCCGCTCCCCTTCTCGAACCAACTTTGCTCCCCACGAGCCATCAGGCACGAGACTGAATTTTTACCATCTCTTCCTCTTTAAATATGGTTTCATGAGTGTGTCAGTATCCTTCAATCTCACACTGTACTTTTGCCTGTTTTGAACCTTTGTCAGTAGAAACATATCGCAGGTATGTCTGGTGACTTCAGGGTCTGCTCCGGACTACATACTTCACATCCAGGCATGCTCACCCGCCAGCTTTCCTTCCTTCCTTCTCATTGGATAGATCATTCCATCATTGCATGACTCATTTCACCACTCCGCCTCCAACATACATTGGAGTTGCTTCCAGTTTGGGGGCTCTTACAAGCAATGCTGCCACGAGCACTTGTGTAACTGTGGAAGAGTTTCTAGAATGTGTCCCTGGGAATAGAATTGCTGGCTTGTAGGATGTGGGCATCTTCAACTTCACTATTGCCAAACTATTTTCCAAACAGGCTATTTTGTTATACCAACTCACATACCTACTACTATTCCATCCTGGCCAATACTTGGTAATATCAGAGTCCTTTAAAAAAAAGACTTGATTTCCAAGTAACCTTTACACCCAATGTGGGGCCTGAATTCACATCCCTGAGATCATGGGTTGCATGCCCCTTACCGAGTCAGCCGGGTGCCCCAATATCAGACGTTTTGTACTCCTGACCTGACCTGATCTGGGGAAAATGGTATCTTACCATGGTTTGATTTCCAATGCCCTTGATAATTAATGAATTGGCCGCCTTTTCTTTTCTTAAGACTTTGTAAGATTATTTTGAGAGATAGAGAGAGAGATTAAGGGAGAGGCAGAAAGAGAGAGGGAGAGAGAGGATCTCAAGCAGGCTCCATCCAAGCTGTCAGCATAGGGTCCAACACGGGGCTCCAACCCATTAACCGTGAGATCATGACCTGAGCTGAAATCAAGAGTCAGATGCTAAACCGACTGAGCCCTCCAGGTGCCCTGGACACTTTTTCATGTGTTTAAGTGTCATCTATTTTCTTCTCTTCCATGAATTGTCTGTTCAGGTTTGTTTTGGTTTTGCTAATGTTTTCGTTGATGTGCCTGCATTTTTCTAATTTTTCTCAGTGCTTCCTCCTAGATCCTGGAGAGTAATCATTTGTAGGTCATGTGCATTACAAATAGCCTATCAGTCTATAGTTGTTCTTTCTTTCTTCTTATGGAATTTTTTTAAGGACGGGTAGTTCCTACTTTTTTTTTTTTTT